CTGAGCCATCTCTCCAGTCGCAATAGACGAGAGTTTTTGCAATAAAAGTGTTATTTGGATTTGATGTGGTGGTCCATGCCCATAAGCACTTAGGAGGCTGAGGCAAGCAAGATAGCTAAAGGGCAAGGCTGGCCCGGCCACTGAGATAGTTCAGGACAACGCGGGCAGCTTAGTGGGTCCCTGACTTGAAAGATAGAGTGCGGGAAACAGTGCAGTGGGAGAGTTTGTTTGTTTGGTTTTAATTTTTGTTTGGTATTGTTGTTGTGGTTTTTTTTTTTTGTTTGTTTGTTTGTTTTGAGACAGAGTTTCTCTGTGATGCTTTGGTATCTGTCCTGGAACTAGCTCTTGTAGACCAAGCTGGCCTCAAACTCACAGATCTGCCTGCCTCTGCCTTGAGTGCTGGGATTAAGGGCGTGCACCACCACCACCCAGCCACCAGGTGTCCTTTACTTGTTTATGAAAGGCTTGGACCCAGGAGATGCTAAGGCCAGTGTCTGGAAAAGTGCCTTTACTGTTCCTGCCCTCAGGCACCTCCCCAAGCACCTGACTTAGAACTCTGACTCTCCAGTCTTCTGTTAGCTTGGACTCACTCTCCTTGGCATGTTGAATGGTACACACCCACAGGAGGCCGGCAAGGGCCTGCACTGGTCTTTAGACTCTGTGACTCTCACTGAGGGTGAGGGAAATTGGGCCTTCCTACATCCACAGGAAACTGACTCCATAGCTGGCGACAGCAGGAGACACCAGGATGGTTTCAGGATATACCCAATATATCCTGGCCAAACCCAGGAGGTGGAGGACAGGGCTTGGCTTACTGTTAGAAAATAGCTTGTCTAGGAACCTGAGCAGACAAGGGGGGGGGGGGGCAGCGACTCAGGGTCCTGGAGGTGTTTGCTCTTCCTGGGGCACAGTTGTCGCCAGGAATCCTGAAGTGGCTGGACACGGCTATCAATGAGGTATAAGTGGAGGGGAGCCAACTGCGTCTGCTTCTGCCCCTGCAGGCACAGCTGTCTGGCCTGGCACCCTAGGATCCAAAAGCCTCAAGATGCTGGTGTAGCCATCTGGGACTTGGGACTCAGGAGACCGATAATTAACCCCTTCAGGACTGCAATGGTGATCAAATCCACATCCTCATATGGAACAATGCTCCCAGCTTTGAGAGGAACCACAGGGCTGGCACTCCGGTTCTCTTCATTGTGGACGGAACCCTGCCGTATCCTTCCCCTGGTGTGTCCAGGTGTACCCAGAATCCTCACCTGCCAGGGACCTCAGTGACTTGTCCTTCACCTACCACTACACCTGACCAAGAGTATGGTGAAGAGGGTCCCTCCTCAGTCCACAGGAAGTTCTGAACTCCAGTTCCCAGGACTACTTCCTGCCTCTGAGCCTGTGCCAGGCTGGAGCCCAGCCTAGGGAAGCAGCTGTAAACTCTCCCAGACATACTGCAGAGGTCTGGCGGGGCTAACCCTTCCTTTGGGCCTCTTTCTCTGTGAAGAGACTTCAGAGTCCTCGCTGAAGACTTTGATGAGGACTACTCTTGAGTATTGTAGCAAACACAGGGACAAAGCTCATCCTTCCACTTACACAGGGGACTGAATTCATGGCTGGGTGCTGACGCCCAGTCAGAGCCTGGCTCGGGGCCTGCTCCAGGATGCCAAGCAGACAGCATTCTGAACATCCCTGACCTCACTCCACAACTTCTGGGAAATGGCACAAATACATACACTTGGGCTCCACTTACCCATGGCTTCCTTCTCAGAAAGGGGGTGGGGCCAGCACAGCCCATGTGCCTCCCAAAAGCAATGCATGAAACCCACTGCCCATGGCACACAGCATCTGGACACCATCCCAGGATCTGAACAAAGTGTCTTTTATTAATGACGTACAAATAAAACTGATACAAAAGGAGACATTTTCCCTCTTTGATTCCAGTGATAAGAAGCTGCTAGGAAAAAATACATTAAACAAGAAACTTATCTTCCAACTTTCCTCTAAAAAACAAAAAATCCTCCAGAAAGTTAAAAAGAACCACACACATTTAACAGCAACAAAAATAACCTGAAATGGGACAGGCTCACTAAAAACAAAAACCTTTTTAAAACATTTTAACACGTCCCAAACAAAAAACAAAAGCGCCTGGTACAGCAGGCTAGACCTTCTGTTTCTCAAAATCATGAGGGTGGAAGATGTAAGCCTGATAAACCAATGGACTCAACACCCACAGGTCTGCTGGTCTTGGCCACCATCCCTCTGGTTCAGTGAGAGATCCTGAAGGGTCCTTTGGGATGTGGTCTGCAGAGGGTGAGGAGCAGGGCAGGCACTCAGCACCACAAGCACCCTGGTGCCAGGTGTCCAGTGACTGAAGACTCTCACCTCACATGGGATTTATACTGGGGGTTCCTTTTGGTTCCCCAAAGTGTGAGGCATCAAAAATTCATGATCTAAGACAGATGAGGATCAGGGAATAACTCTTCCAAGCATGTTCCTGTTTCCTGATTCTTGGAAGGGGCCTACCAATCCCATCTGGTCAGCTTCAACTCTCACCAGGGGATAGTCCCCAGAAGCTAGTAGGCCAGGCAAAGGTAGACCTATTCCAGTGTAAAGCTCCAAGGCCCTCTCCAAGGCAAGGCTGACAGGCCTAAGAACAACACAGGGTGCTCACAGAGGACAGACCATGGCAAAAAAGGACCCTCCATGCCCAGGCTACCATGCAAGCAAGGATCTGAGTGAGAGGTGACTGCTCTGGGAAGACCTGCCAGGACAGACAGCCAGAGTCAGGCAGGGGGTGAGCTGAGCAGACTCTGAGGTCAGGAAGGGTCTCAGAGCAACTGCACAAAGGCAAGTTCTTTGCCATGCCTCAAGGCAAAACTCAGGGATGGCAATGGGGAAGCGGCAAGTGTGTTTTCCTAGGTGAAGATTTGGTTTTGCTTCCTTGGAAGAACATAACCCAGAGATCAGGATGAGTTCAAGTTCTAAGCCTACATTCTCTTCATCCTCTGAAGAGGAAGGCCTTCTCCTGGCCCTGGCCTGCCACTGTACGATGACACCAATGACAGAAAGCAGTGGTAAGCCACTGAAAGGCATTCCTGAGTATCTCAGTGGGCCAGGACAGTGGCACAAGTGCCTCATTGAGGCAGCAAGGGATGGGGCTGGGGAGAACAGGCAAAGAGGCCTGCTGCTGGCTGGGGCTCCTCAGACAGGGAGGATGGGGGGTATAACCCACCTTCAGAAAGCAATCAGCACCAAGAGTAGGAGAAAACGGTATCAACTATACCAGGAAGGAAGGCTCCTTCTGGGGAAGAAGAGGGGTTCCCTGCTGTTACTTCTCTTGAGATTAAGAACAGAGGTATCTGGGCTGAAGAGAGAGGTGTGTGAACAGGCTGGACTGTGGTTTCCTTCTTGAGTAAAAAGGCTGAGTCAAGATCATGAGAAATGCAGCAAAATTCCAAGGCCCAGAGATGCTGCATCCCTAGGGCAAACACGTAAGAGACTGGCAGCTCTTCCTGGCTTTCTCTGCCTTACTGACCGTGATGGAGACATAATCTCCTCCTGAAGTTGGCTTTGGCTGGTCCTGAGATTCCACCCTGTGGATCTATAAGAACACAGCACAAAGCCCTGCATCTTGACATCAAAGAGCTACATGGTCTCCAGGAGAGCACTTGGTCCCAAGAGTAAAAATATCCAAGGGCTGCTGTGTGCCCAGATCTGCATCCAATCCATCCTGGGAACCAGCAGACTCCAGGTCTTTCACAAAGGTGGGGATAAACATTCCATCTGTTCATACGGGGCATGGTGTGGGGCCCTGTCAGGAATTCAGCTGTAGACAAGTGGGAACCTTCCATTTTAGGGTCCCAAGAGCTAAGCAAGGAGGCAGCCACTGCACAAGGATGGGCTCAGTGGCCAACCTGTCACCCTTCTCACAGCACCCTCTCCCTGTGCCCCCTCCTGGCACTCTGCCTTTCCAGGAGGGGGTGGAAAGGCAGCTGGGGTCACTGCTCCCCAGGGTTCTGTGCTCTCAGGGTATGCCTGGCTTATGCAGGGCTAAGGCACCCACAGTTCTGGGGGTACCTGGCAAGTAGCTTAAGACCAGGGAAGAGGACAGGCCTAAGGAGAGTGACTTCACTGGCAAATGGTTCTGTGAGTTCAGTGACAGCAGCCACCACAGTGCCCGCCTGTGTGGGAATGCTGACTATCCCCAAACTTGGTCCTTCGGCTCAGGATCTCGTAAGAACAGTCCTCCCCACAGCATCCAGACATGCTGGGGGAAGAGTCATCGATTTCAAACCTACAAGACAGACAAGAGGAAAGGGTTGGCAGCTGGTTTTACACATGAGCCAAGAATTTCTGCAGTAGTTCTGAGACCCTTGGAATGAGGCAAAGGGACCAAGTCAGAGGGCACTGGCACACCATCTCACAAACCCCAATCCCCACAGACCACGGACAGGATCAGCATGAGGACAAGCAGGCCCCTGGGACCAGCAGAGGGAGCACCCTAACCACCCAGAAGGACCACGCCAGAGCCGCGCTCCTTACTGAAGTGCCTCTCGGAAGAACTGATAGGCGCCATGGTTGTGTTTAAAGACAGTTAGCATCACCTTCTTCATCTGTGTGCTGGAAGGGAGCAGAGAGAACACCTTTTAGAAACTGAATCAAGGGTCTAGAGAGATGACTCAGCAGTGAAGAAAGAACACTTCTGTTCTTCCAGAGGACTGGAGTTCATTTCCCAGCCACAGGGTGGCTCACACCTACCTACCTGCAATTCAAGATTATCCCACACCCTCTGGCTTCTCCAGGCACTGTACTCACATGGCAGGCATGCACATACACATAAAAATATGTAAAATAAAAACAAAACTAAACACACACATTTTATTTTTTAACCTAAGAGTGGTCTATCCGTATGTATGCCTTTATGCCGGAAAAGGGCATCAGATCCCACTAGAGATGGTTATAAACCACCATATGGTTGCTGGGAATTGAACTCAGGACCTCTGGAAGAGCAGCCAGTGCTCTTAACAGCTGAGCTATCTCTTTAGCCCCCAAGACATATCTTGTTTTATTTATTTATTTATTTATTTATTTATTTATTTATTTATTTATTTGGTTTTTCGAGACGGGGTTTCTCTGTGGCTTTGGAGCCTGTCCTGGAACTAGCTCTGTAGACCAGGCTGGTCTCGAACTCACAGAGAACCACCTGCCTCTGCCTCCCGAGTGATGGGATTAAAGGCGTGCACCACCATCGCCTGGCAAGACCTGGGGTTTAATCTTTAGCCCTGACACAGTGGTGCATAGCCATCTGTAACCCTAGGTCCAAGAAATCTGATGCCCTCTTTGGGCCTTCAAAAGGTACCAAGTACAAACATGGTGCATAGACAAACACACAGGAAAAAACACCCATACACTAATAAAAGTAAAAAACAAACTGTCACTCAGCGTTAGTGTAAGCCTTTAATCCCAGTACTTGGGAGGCAGAGGCAAGTGGCTCTCTGAGTTGCAGGCTAGCCTGGACTACAGAGTGAGATCCGTGACAGTCAGGGCTACCCAGATAAAACCCTGTCCCAGACAACAACAAAGTGAATCAATCAATGTATCAATCAATACAGAACAGAGACTAAGGTCAGGCCTCCTTTCTCTTCCTTACATTTTGCCCCAAAAGGAGTCCTCCAGTCCCTCCTCCAGCCTGCAGAGGTCTTGGCCCCCTTGGCACCGAGTCCCTCCCACCACTGCAGGTTGGCCAGAGTACCCCAGTGTCAGGGATCTGTCCCACTTGCCCTCTAACCTAGAGGTGTAAGAAAGCAGGGCCGGCTTTCTGACGGGTCTAGATACATTTTTCCTCCTCAGTGGCCCCCTTGATGCAGCTCTTACCCTACAGCTGTGCGGCAGCCCTTACCTGTTGGCCATGAGCTGCAGGATCTGAATGAGGAACTTCCCCAGGCCTTTCCGCCGCACCTTGCTCTCCAGCTGCACCTCGTAGCTAACAAAGAAAGCAGAGGCGTGCACAGGACAGTGCCAAGGAGAGGATCCCGCTCCAGAGGAGCCTGCTGTCCAGACCCAGAGAGGCTCGGTGGGTCCACCACCTGGTCTCCTCCCTCTCTACCCAAGTTAAGCCTCAGTTCCTACCAGTACAGGACTTCATCCCCGCACTCCACATCAAACCGGAAGTGAGAAAAGGCAACTGGGATGGAATTGTTTTCCCAAGCAATGAGGTACCAGGCTCGGTCATCAGTCATTTCCTCCCGTTTCTCTCGGTCCTTCCAGCCCCATTCACTTTGCTCATACCTGAGGAGTTGGGGCAATCAGGACAGGGGACCTTGGAAGAAAGCCACTGGGGTGCAGGGCTGCCCTCAGTGAGGCCATGCTTACATTGTCTGCATATTGGTTTTGGTGAGGTCAAAGGCCCAGTCCACAGTAGCTGGCTCCAATCCAGACACTCGCTTACATTCAATGGAGATATTCAACCTGAGAGGCGGACAGGGAGACATCAGGCCCAGGGTTCTCACCAGGAACTGCTGTTCCGCCTTTGATGTCTGCCAGGGAGGCATGCCACTCTCAGGCACCCTACAGATGCAGGACTAACAAGTCATCACAGGCCTAGTTCCCGCCGCACCTGGACAGTCTTTATCAGGCTCTCTCTGTCAGCTGCTCTCCTTGGCTGCTTCTCTCTCCCCTACCCGCCCAGTCTCTGCAGCTTCTAGTACTTACCAAAAACACTCTACTCCCGGCTGTTT